CCTGTGCTGCCCCCAAAACAATCAGCCTTTTGAATGCTGTTTTGTCCAGCCTTGAAGACCTCGAATTCATCATTGTGCGCCTTCAGACCGCATTGCCCGCATTGCCAGCCTTGGAGACGCACTCTCACGAACCAGTGGACCTTACTTCATGCTCACAGACCTAAAAGGAGCTGCCTTGCGCATTGGTTGATACTCACATTGACGTTCAGTGTCAATTGGCAAACTCAGGCACATTCTGCCGCAGCCTTGGTCCAGCATGTGTGTCACACCCATGCCAATTTCATTGCTGCCATGCCTTAGCATATTTGACAGGCTCATGCTGGCGCCTCCAGCAGCCCTGTCATCACGTGCCCCAGACTTGCAGCATTGTTTGTGCACTCGTTTTGCCGCATTTGCCTTGTGTTCGCAGCCATTTAGCAGTGTGCAATTTGCCTTCGGCATGCCGGACCAGGTGCCTATGACAGAAGAGAACCAAGCTGCCTTGACCGCCATGCTCTCAGTGCTGCGTGACCGGACGGCCTCAAGATCCTCCTCGCCTTTGCAGCCGCCCTTCCCACTGATGAGTCTTCGACCTTGCCGCCTGAAGGGGCATCCACGCAAGACCTTCCAGAGCCCTGCGCAGAAGAGCCGCCCTTAGTGAATATCTTCGACCCTAACAGGGCAGCCCTTCAGCAAAAGTGAGAAGCCCTGGGCCGACCAGCTCGCGCCCGAGCTGCCTCCAGACGCCCCCGGCAGACGCAGCACCCGCGCCAGAGACTCCGCAAGACGCCTTGCCAACAAATCCAGGGACCGCCTCAACCGAGGTACCAAAGCCGAGTCCTTCGCCTTCAGACCCGCAGTGGCCAACCGCCCCGGACTTGCCGCGCGATGCCCTGCCGGCAAAGCAGGAAGCTGTCCCCAAGGAGCCGCCCAAGCCGAGGCCTTTGCCTTCGGAGCCGCAGAGGCCTCCGCCGGTGCCCCAGCCCAAGGCAGCCCTGAGCCCGCCTTGTGACTGGCCCCCGCAGCCTTCAGGATTTCACGAGCCCAAGCCCGACCTGCAGCACTTGGGCCTTTCACCGGACACGCCTTTGTACGCATGGGACGGCAGCTGGTGGATGAATTACTACGAAACGCCTTCAGCATCGACTCCTGCTGGAAACGCAATGAACGGCAGTCTTACCGCAAGCCTTCACAGCCCTGGCCAAAGCCCTCCCAGCCGCAGGAAAACACACGCGCCATCGCTCAGCTGGAGCAGTGTGCGCAACTTCCTGCCATGCGGCTGCCTTGCACTATGAAGGCTGCGCGGGTGGGAGGGGTCGCCAAAGCGTGGTGCCTGGATGACCAATCCAGATTGTGCTGCGCATTGCCTTGTGCGTCATCGCCCTGCCCTTTCCACTCAGCCTGCGGCCGCATCATCAATGACAGGATTCCCCTGTTCGAGGATACGCACACTTCGCACTACTGCAGCCGGTGCTATGAAGCCTTGCAACCCAGTGTAGCCATGTACTAATGCCTTGCACTGTGCCATTGACTGCACTATTCAGCTCCATGAGGGCCACGCAGTGCACTCATTTCATTTTCTTAAAACTAAGAGAATGTTTTCGGTGAAGCCTTCTGCTTTTTTGCACCCATCGCATTACATGTGCATCCGACACATTGCGTTGGCCCTCATCATGACCGATCCGCATGCAGCAGTTGCAACGAAAAAAACAGACGTGACCGTTGCGGCCTGGGCATTGGTGTCAGCAGAGACTGAAACGCGGCGAGTTTGAATTGGCATCTGTGCCCACTGTTTACAGCGTGGCGGACCTCAACACGAAATGTTTGGCAAAGGGGCGTGTGCAATTCCTTAGGTACATGCTTGGATGTGTGAAGTTTGATGAGGATGGCAGTCAACATGGAGTGTGGTTGAATGTTGGTCAGGACGAGTACGACACTTTTGAGGAGAAGGAGAAAGCCAAGCAGCTGATCAGGCAGATCCGAGCTGAGATTGGCGCTGGAAGCTTCGAAGCTGGAGGATGAGGAGGACGCCTTGGGCCGGCGCGGATTTGAGCCCAATATCAGTAGCAAAGCAGATCAGAGTGGAGTTCACTTGGAGTGGACAATTCAGGACACCTTGGAGGTGATCGCAACCCTGTACGTGTGCATTTGCGTGTTTACACGCTCGTGCCGACATGTGTGGTGGTTGTGGCGGCAGATGAATGTCTTCATCGCATGGTGCAGGAGATGGAGACAATCCAAAGCAATGCAGAAGACTACCATTTTGGAGTCTAAGGAGGTAGACATGAGTGCTTGCAGCAGCAACTGTCGTGAAGAAACTGTTTTTCGTGAAAGCAGCAACGCGGCTGTTTCTGACAGTGAGATGACAGTCTATGTGACAAAGCATGGCGCCTTCTTTCACAAGAAGGGATGCAAGTGGATTGCAGGCAGGGAGACGAAAACAATGCTGAAATCTTTTGCGGAGACGCATGGGAAGGCAGCGTGCCGAAATTTCTTTGGATGGCCAAGAAACAAGTGAGATGTGGAAGCTTGAGAAAAGTGGATACCGGTTTACGCCACGGCTGCTTGGAGCCGCATGGGCACGGTATAGGAGCTTAGAGTTTCACTTTGGTGTGCGCTCTCGCAATTCTGTTGCATGAGCCTTTTTCACGTACATGAGGAGGTGACTGTTTGGATGTGAAATCCCCTTCTTTAGAGACGTCAGGAGATTTCAAGGCGGGGTGCTAATAATTGCATTCCCTTTGTTGTCACTTGTGTACAGCATGAGATGCTTGGAGCATGTCTTGTAGATTGTGCTTCATGACTTTGGCTCAAGGCGTTCAGATGCAGAGAAAGGAAAAGTTTAGCAGAGTAGATGACTCTCGTGACGACGCTGCCTCTTCTTGCCCTGCTGTTGTGTTGGTCTTTGGTTTGGTTTGCTGCCTGTGTTTGGCTTTGTTTGGTTTGGCTTTTTCGCACTTCTCACCACTTTGGTCTCACCTTTGCAGTTCTTTCTCACCAACTTGTCCAGTTCTTTACTTGGTGCACGACACGGACCGCTGCCTCGGGTTTTAAAAAAAGAAGAAGCTGCTGAGCATTGTCCAAAAGGGTTTGGGCCAATGAGAAAGTGGCATTCTCAAGGTCAAGGCTGGGTCCATCCGATTGAAAGAGGTACGTAGCTCTGTGTAGTACTTCTCCAGGAAGAACGCTCGGGCCGGGATATCAACTAAATCTTCGGTAAATCTTGGCATGCGTTCAAAGCAAGGTTACTGTTATTCCCCTTAGCAAACATGTAGAGATAGTTCTGCAATCAAACTGTAGGAGCAACGCCGAACACAAGCTCTTGAGGAAGACATCTACGTGCCCAGTTGAAATGCAAGCGAAAAAAGTCAATGGCACTAGGTGCACTTTGCTCGTGCAACTCCGGCAATCAAGCCACATTGAGCGCATTCCTGTGCAGATCTCAGCCTCCAATTTCACCCATTAGCAGTGTACGCAAATGCAGGAGTGGCTTGGGACGAAACGCTGCGGATGTGTTGCACAGGCGCTCAGCGATGAAGGGGTTGTTTTGCAGGTGCTCTCTTTCACCGTTAGCAAGAAGAAGCAGCTTGTGTTTCCGCTGTGGTGCTACTCGGCGCTGGTCGAGTCCTTCAACCGCGTGCTGCTGTCCGAGCAGCTCCCTGGTGTTCAGCTACCGCCAGTGCACACCCAGCAGTTCAGTGCCAATGGGCGTGGCGGAGCAACATCACCGTCGCGCCTTGACCAGCGTACCCAAGGGTGGCCTTCCAACAAGGCCTTATGCGGAGGATACTGGCGCAACACCGCACATGGGTTTCAGACTGCTGGAAGTGCCACCTTTGGATAACGGCAAGCCGCAGACGAGACGCTCGCGAGCATGTTACGTTTGCTCTGTATCTTGCGACTGGCCAGGTGATCTCCCGGTCATGGTCACGAATGGTAAGCATGTTTCCATCTTTGCTGCTTTCTTGCTCACAATCGCATTCGTTGTTGGACAGTCTCGATTTTCCAGTCTTGGTGCTGTCACCCAGCAATCGCAAGTTGAAATCTGCGCTTTTACCAAGGGCCCATTGTCTTTGCACGGCGTCCGCACAACTTCAAGGGAATTCTTTGCGACTGTCGCAACTGACGACGGACGCCAAGCATCGGACTGCTTTGAAGATGTTGCAATGGAAGCTGTGCTTCTCCACAGCTTCTCCAGCTCACACCCCAGTTGCTGAGGTGCCGCCTGATATTCTGCGAGTACAAGATGCCTTTGTTGTACCTGGTGTGCCGCGGGATGCTGTGCCCTTAGATCGATGTGTTGATGTCCAGAAGCTTGTTTTCTTGGGGAAGAAGGAGCCCGAGCAGTTCGCGGTCCTTCGCAAGGTGTCTGCCTTTAGTGTGTCCAGCCGGTCCACCGCAGAAAACCGCCACAGCGCTCGCGTCCGCCTTGCCAGCAAGGGCCCGTCCAGGAGGTCAAGCCTGCCCCTTCATGTTTTTTTCAAAGGCTCTCCCAAACCAGGGTTTGTCCGCCCAAAGGGGGGACTGAGGGGGGTTTCAAGATTTTTTTTGATCAGCTCCGAGATCCCGGCAGTCTTTTTGCCCTTCCCCTGATGGCGTCGATGCCGGAAAGCGCTGCTGGAAGCTCGTGTTTGCTGGATGATGAGGCTTTGTGCCGGTTTCCCCGCTTCCAATGGATGGACTTGTGATAGTGGTGGGCGATGACCATAATCACGAGATCGGATAGCGCTGTACAATAATTGCACAATGGCAATGGCAATGGCTTGATCATGGACAAACAACCACGGCTATCATGACGCGATACCCAATCGTACTGGGATAGTGAATGGACGACAACACGGTCTGTGGACATGGTACGCCAGTTGGAGTTGAGTATTGGGCCTGGCGCAACAGGTATTTAGGATCCTTCCCTTCTTGGGAATTGATGGCCCTTAGGTAGAGTATGGAACAGAACAGATTTCGCAACCTAGAAGCTTCACTGGTGTTTCAATTTGCTTCAACTCAAAACGCAATGTTGACTCACTGATCTTCAGAGGACACATGTTTCATTTTAGTTCAGGAGAAACACAATTTCTCCGGGTTTTTGGCCTGGATTGCATGGAAAGCCGAAAAAGGCATCTCTCAAGGTGCATCGGAGGCAGGGTTGTGCTACGATTTTAATAAGTCCACAACATGGTGCGAGCTGGCCTTCACGCTGTGATTTGCATGTTTCATCAAGATCCTTTGTATATACTTTAGTTGTCCATTGCGCTGTTCACACTCCACAATGCACAAACTGCTTTGAGCAAGAATCAAACGTGTTGTGTTCGAACAAGATAGTGCAAGATTTGCTTTGGAATGTTCTCATGCGGTGACTTGGTTCTGGCTTTAGGTGCTTCAGCCGATCCGGCCGGGTGGATGCGTCTCGATGGGTCAAACCGCTAGCTGCTGCGAGGAGGAGCATGTTGACGCTCCGAAGGAAGTGGTGCTACACAAGTTCAACGAACCCGAAGCAGAGGACACGGATGAAAACCCTCCCCGCAATGTCAAAGACATCACGGTGGAGATCAAGAAGGAAGTGGCAGCTGATGTGGCTGAAGCACCTGACGAAGTTGGTCACAGACTCCAGAAGCCAATGAGCGGGAGCAGTCGTTTGGAGAAAATGGAGCAACTTGCAGTGGACCATGAAATCGTGCGTGGCATTCCTTTGCGCGAATCCTTGAAGAATTGGGGCCGACTTTGGCGTTGGTCTCCCCTGGATTTGGCCGAAGAGGATCGCAAGAGCCTCTGGAACCGCTCCAAAAAAGTGGAAGGATATGACATTTTCCTTTCGCACACCTGGCTGACAAAGGGAAGGTGGAAAGTCCTGACTCTGCTCTTGCGATCTGGTTGGTACATGATGTTGCTCGGGTGGGTCCTTTTCGCTGCCCTGGCCATGATCCTTTGCAGCTACGAGGTCTTGCCCATGAGTTCTTCTTGGCTGGTGGAGCTGGATGGCTGGACTGGTCATTGCACAATGGGATACTGGATTTGGATCTTAAGCATCACCGGCGCATTTCTGGGTCTCTTCCTTTCAGTCTACCTTCCCGAGCGTATCTTCAAGTCAAGCGTTTGCTTCCTCGATGTGACTTGACGTCAACATTTTGCAGTGGTGTCGTCAACCATCCCTAGTTTTGGCAGCCAAATGGGTGGCATAGACGTTAAGAAGTGGGGTGGGCTTTATGACATTGCTGTACCCACGTCGTCCAACCGACAACCAAATCGCACAATGACAACCAAACCGACAAGTGCACAACAAATGCACCATTTGGTTGTTCATTGCTTGGGTTTCCACCGACAACCAAATTGCGTAGCCATCTTTGCAGCTTCGAAATGCTTGCAGCCAGCCTCAGAAGGACACCGATCAAACAACCACAGCAGAACTGGCCATAGACCCGAAAGGGGACTGTTGCCGGCGCTGACAGCAAACCAATTCCTTGTTCCGGATTCTGGCATCAAGCTTTGAAATGGTAACTTCTTGAGCGAAGTGTTTGGGTAGAAATCGAAGCAACTCCTGCCGATGTGTCCGAATCAACCTTCGTGAATGAGATGGCGAGAGTTGAGGTCGCATCTTTTTTTTTGCGTTTCCGCCAATGTCGTTCCAGTTCCCGGATTGCGGTTCCAGTTTCGAGGTGGTGAGCATCCATCAAACGGATTCAGCCCTGATGGAGCGTGGCATCTACGGCCTGGGCGGCTTCTTGAAGGTCGCCAAGGAGTTGCGGGTGCTTTGGAGTCCTCCGTACTTATCTCGATTGTCAGCGCCTCAGACCCCCGATTTTTTTCTTCTCCTGGAGGACTTCCTCGACCCATTTTTGGAGGACTCCAGGTGACCGTTTTCCCTCCCCGTACTCCTCCAGGTTCAAAGGATGCAGCCAACAAATCTACGGTTTTGGCTTTTTTTCCCTCCACGGGCTCCGGTTTTGCCAAGGATGAGTTTTTTTTTTTGCAACATTTGTGGCACCTATTGGATCGGAGAAGCGGATTGTTTGTGGAAACCGCGGGAACAGATTTGATCAATGTTGTGTAAAATACCATAATAATAGCCAAATAGCCAGCAATACTGTGGATGGACTAAATCCGTTCGCACCACTTTGAAACCATGGCAATCCACTGTTTCTTGGTATTTACATGGTGCGAAATGAGTTTCGTCCATCCACAGTGGGCTGCAAAGTCAGATACCCTCCCACCAACTATGGGTTCGTCCAAGAGGAAGGTCGTCTTTCTATGGGGAGCTGGTGGGAGGGCAACATCTATGTGGCCATGTCGACTCGTTTGTTTTGCTTACCTAGAAAATGATTCCTTTTCCATTCTTTTCAACCGGCGTTCATTTCAAACACCGGATCTGTTTTTTTTTCTCGGGTTTTGGATGGGTTCCTGAAAAGATTTGGATCCCGAGAATGGAAATGGAAGGTAGCCCTAGAAACCTTTGACGTTTGAGCTTGGCTTTCCGCAGGTGGTGCGTTTTCGAGCTGGCGGCGTATCGCACAGCGAATCCCAAGGGAAAGATCGTTCTAAATCCACTGTTTATCGATGCCTGGTCCTTACATTTTGGCAAGTATTGATGTCATGTCAATCCTTCTCCATGTTTTTTTTTTTTTTTTGTTGGTCGACCATCCACCATTGGTCCTCTAGAGACGTTGATTAGGTTTGGAACGTTTTGAACCAGTCTAGATTGGTGCTCGACTCTATGACTTTCTTAGACTCATGCAAGGCAGTTCTGTTGAACGCGTTTCTGTTTTGCAGACCCAGGAGAGTGTGTGTACTATAATGTTCTTCGGCAGCCTTCTGGGATCCTTGCTCCTCCAATACACGATGCTGCGCAAGATGAATGCGACCGTGAAGAACTCCGCCTACTCCTTCGGAACATTACCCTTGCTGGTGGCTATCCATGTCCTGCGACGTGAAGTGAAACTGAGGCGGGAAGGGTGTTTTTCTTCGCAGCTTTTTTGCTGCCATCGGCTTTGTGCCAACTCGAATGGGGTCTTCATGTTCGGCCCCTCAAGCTGCAAGACCCTGTCATATTGGCCTTCAGCTTTCGCAGCTGATGTCTCACTGCGTTGACACCAACATCTAATTCAACCATGCTGCGGTTTTTGCGAATTCAATAAGAACCTTGGTTTCTTTGCTCCCTCTTCCGAATTGCCCAACTGTTCGCAAAGCGTTCCGGCTCAGGCACTTGCTAGCAACGGGTCTGAGGGATTTCGACTTGAACGACGCTGAGTGCCGGAACGATTTTGATCGCGAGTTCATCTATGCTGGCATCATCCAGTGGTTGCTCGTCGAATTTTGTTGTGCTTTTGTATATCTACAGAGAATTACACACACACACATCCATCTATTTTTCTATATAGATACACTACATGCAGCATACAGTATATAGGCTGCAAGATGTCTCAACTAATACCACATAACGCTTGCGACCGAACAACCTTTCCGGACTTTTCTGACGCATCGCGTGCGATCAGCCTTTGCTGCGGAACGCACTCTCCACACCTGGAGTTCACAAGCGGGCAAGGATGCCTGCAAGGATGCCCCCAATGCACGTGTCACATGGTGCGCGCCATATGGCGGAGGAAACTACTGTAGCGCCGCGACGGCGTCGCGGCGCTAGCATTGCGAGGGCGCCACAAGTGTGTTCCAGCCCATAAGTTGCGCAGAGAACTTGGTGATCCCCAAGCCTAGCAAGACGACCAGCTCTGACAAACTCAGTTCTGCTTTGGATTGCTGGCTCATCCGGCTGATTTTGCTTCCTAGATGCATGCATCTTAATTCTGAAATGTTAAGAAGACATTGTCCCGGCTTCCCTTTTCAGTGTTTCTTCAAACGCCAAGGCAACCCCAGCCGTAAACACGCCGATGCTAAGAATGCGGGTAACCCAGTAAGTCCTTAAACAACCCCGTAGCACGTGGTCTCAACAATGCGTGTCTGCATTGGCTCAAACACTGGAAAGCAGAGACCAAAGTTAAAGCGCAAAGGTCCATGACATGACCCACGCGCACCAAGAGGACGTGCACCTGCTGCCTGGTGCACCTGGCGTTTACCAAGCTGGCTGACCATGTCCGTACTCCGCTCGTCCGGTGAAGGCTTGCAGGAAAGAACTGTCGCCCTAACTGTTCCACATTTTCATGGCCAGCATTATTCCCAGCACAAGAAAATCCAACACCCTGCCTGCGTCTCCGCCCCAAAGTTGGATTGTCGTCGAAATTGTGTCCATGGCGCCCCGAGCGGTTTGCCCGCACAACTCCACTTTTGGTAGCTGGGGCAAGGGCTACGACTCAACAACTGGTCCCATGGGGCGGGCATGGGGCCCTCAGCCTAGGTACGGCAGCAAAGAGGCCTTCACCAAGTACGTCCGAGGAACTTTGCGGAGAGAACTCCTTGGTTGTACGTATTTGCAGCTGAAGATGCCCCCGCAATACCTCTTGATGATTTGCCTTGGCCCTGTCTGCAACGCCTTGGAAAGCACATTGGCTCTCTTGATCCTTTACCAGAATGTGTATTTCTTTTTGCTTTTATCCATGTTGTGTTAAAATCCGCAACGTCAACTGATTTGTTACCCTGGGCAATCAAACATTGCCATGCACAGTCTACAAGTACTGGATGACTTTCGATGGTTTTTCTACAAAGGGCGTGTTGCATCCTGTGATCTGAACACCAATCATTTGCCAACACAACTTGCTTACATGTCCCAGGATGGCCGACTGCCCCACAGATATCATACTGAGATTCATCGTTGGACGGGTCTTGGCCACAGACCTCTGCTGGCAGCTGATGTGCTTGAAAGTGGCGCTGAACCTTTGTGATACGCTCGGAGCCCAGACTTGGCCGGGAGTCCTGAACTTCGCGACTTCGCTGCACCAAGTCACGGAAGTGGGAAGCGGGGGACTGGGGCTTCCACTGGAAGCTACGGAAGATCCAAGACAGGTTGTCGCGGTCGCATGAACAGAAGCTTTGAAAATGCTCACGCCCGCTGTATTTGGATTGTGAGCACGAAGATTGAACGGCTGGAAACCAACAGATTCCGCCTTCGCTGCCCCGCTGAAGAGTAGCGCTTGCCCTACACTGCCTTGACCCTTGCCCCACACCCAAGATGTTTTTACACCAGGCAGTTTGTCTTGTTAAAGAAGCAAGACCCAGGCAAGCCGGGTTTGCCTGAGGCTTGTGCACCACAGATTTCGATAAACCATGATAGACCTGTTGCAAATCAATCCTTTGACATTTCCAAGGGCAAGTCAATGTGGAAATCTTCTCTGCCTTGCTTTCCTTCCTCTCTCAAGTTGCCCAGAGATTAACCTTGAAACAAAGAGTTTACCGTGGATCAATACTCTTGCGCAGGGAATGTCAGGAATCATCTCTATTTTGGTTTCTATTTTGAGAACACTTTGTTTCTCTACGCATTCATCCAACTCGTCCATCGAGCAACCCATCCATGCCCATGGCTATTTGCAGGACTGTATGTATCTAGGACTCAATTCAAGTCTAATCGTGTTATCAGTCATAAGAATGAACCCAATCCTCAACTCATCCCAGGCCAATCTAATCTTCAATTGAGTCCTATATCAACAATTAGGATGCTTTTGTCGCAGGTTTAACACATTTGCCATTATTTCCTGTTGCAAACCATTCTTCGCGGTTTATGGCATGGTGTGTACCGCATTGCACAGATTCTAACCTCAGGTGAACTCGTTCATCATTTTCGTGATCTATTGCTTCTGCAACCTGGTGGGCGCGACCATTGGTTCGATTGCGTGGGAAGCAGGGCTTTGGCAAAGCTTCCTTTGGCTCGGCGGCAATGTGCTGCTGATTCTCCTCCTGATCCTTGGAGGGATTTTCGGGAGTTGTGGAGCACCACAGACGGCCTTTTGAGGCAAGTTTGATCAAAAAGGGATGGCACTGGTTTAGGTGGGGTTTATTCCATTTACCAGGGCCATGTACTTTTCCAAAAGGTCACCTATGTGGAGCACCCGTTTTTTCAGATTTGGTCCCGGGCGGGATATGATACGGCTGACACCCCTTGTGTGAGAATCCTTTGGTTCGACTCCTTTTATTACCGCTGCAATCTCGTTGTCACTTCTTGCGTTCAAGGATCGGCTTTGCCAAGATGATCGAGAAGAAGAATATGTGCCATTTGGAGAAAGAGAACCAGGATAATTCAGAAGCAACTCCCATGTAGCTTCGCGCGAGGTAACTGTATCGCCTTGACCCATCTGCCTGTCTTTTTTGAGTGTGCTAGCCGCACTGGCAGTGTACAAAATCATGCGCATCCCTGGCATATGTCAGGAAGCCTGCAGCTCAAGCAAGCCTTGACTCTTTTCGGAGAAAGACGTGGGGGCTTGCAATGGGTACCTAAGATGTTCATTGGGAAAGAGCCACAGATAATGTGAGCGAGTGCTTCCTCCCTTCTCGCTTCAATTGCATCAGCCGTTGTAGTCATATGGGATAGGTTTGGACAGTAATGCTCAATGTGGTACCGTAGCGTGCTGCCTGTTTTCATGACTGAGACGAACGAGTACACAATTCTATCGTTACCGTCCCTTGAAATAGTGCCATCTTTTTTGTTTCATCAGACAAGTCAAAAATTCCGATGAAAACTGGACGGGCAAAGTCCACAAATGTGCGTGCGTGTGTCTCAAAGAGTCTACAAAGTGCCCATGCCATGGTCCTCCAGCGGCCATGGCGGCAATTGAGCCAGGCGAGCGGGAAACGGCGCTGTTCTAGGGGTTGAGTCCTTTTCCATTCTTTTCAGCCATCGTTCTTTTCAAAAACCGGCAGTTTCCCCGGGGTTTTGGATGGTTTCCTGAAAAGAAGGATCCCTGGAAAGAATGGGGAAGGTAGCCCTAGAGCTGTTCGGATTGCTAGAAGCACACAAAATCGAGCCTCAAGCTGGCAATATTACGGCTTTCGCCGTCAACCTAGGACCGCTTTGAGCCTGCCTTACCCTCCCACCAAACATGGAAGCAAAGGGTTCCTGGCGACTGGGACCGTTCAGCCCCGAACAGCCAGGTCCTGAGGCCTTTGCAGGAGAAGCCGTGAAGGCGTGGGTTTGTCCACAGGGCGGCTGGGCGGCTTAATCACCTGGTTGGGGGCTGGCTTTCGTCCCTCGCTCCCTCGCGCTTGGGCCAATCTGTGAGTTTCTTTGAGGTGATGTTGACAAAGCCAGGCTCTGTCCGCCATTCTTGTAGAAGTCATTGGGGAACGAAGCCACTCCCAACCTGAGCCCCCCGAAGAGGCGCGTCCGATCTTTCCGGAGGGTATTTCCTTGGATTTTTGCCCCATTTCGGTGGCTTTCGGGAGGTGCGTCGGCATGGGCGCCGGCTGGTGCTCCTTGGACGGATGGAACCAAAACGTGTGGTCAAAGCCGTACGGGATCCCAGTTTGGCGGGTTGGTGAATCCACCGCCCGTTTTAGAACCTGGGTGGGGATTGGGATGTTCACTGGAGCTACGGGCTTTTGACTCATGGCCATGAGCGCCCAACACCTCCGGCCATTTTTGTGGGTACTGCATGGCTTCATATTTAGTAAGGCCCATAGAATATCATAAACCCTTGCAACCCTCTCAGAACCCCAAGTCAAAGGGGTTTGGGTGCTGAGGTGAGTTTAAGGGGATTCTTTAAGGGATCCCGTTTCAGTATGTGGTTCTTCTGCCTAGTCTCCGATGGAGTCAAGAGCCCTCGTTGGCCGGATCAGTCAGTGGTTCTACCTAGCTTTATGGTGTTAAAAGCCAGAAGTCAATGACGCTGGAGACTGACTTCTTGGGCCAGTTTAGGTTGACGATCTGCGCTCAGAACCCTTTCAGTCTATATATGTAGAGGCTTTGTTGCCAAGGGGAAGCCACCCGCGTTTTGTTTGTTCCCCACAAGACCCACCCATACAAGACCTGTTCGCGAGACGTCCAAAAAGAGGTTTGTGCGGCTGCGCGCTGACGGCAAGGAGTCGGATCTCATCTTCGATGCTAGGCGCGTCACGCGTCTAAGTCAAAAGTGCAGACCCTCAACTATCGAGTTGGTTCCCTTTTTGGGCTGATTCGACGTGAACCAAGGGGAAGAAGGGAACCAAAGGGACACTCAGAGGATTTCTGCCGGCCATCATTTTTAATATGGCTCCTTCGGGTTGGTTGCTACGTTCCTTTTGAGTAAAAGGACAGAAAGGCGTACTGGGTCCTGCATGTTAGAACGCACGGTTCCAGTGGCAGCTGTTGCCCTGCAGTTGCTTCGACCACCTGAGCAGCGAGCTGCCTTTCCCTGCCGACAAAGGTGGCTTGAAGGCACAGTGATGGATCGGCGGACGATTTTGGCCTGTGAGTGATGTAACGTTTTTGCCTTCTCCCCTTTCTGTGTATGGCTTTGTCTCTTCTCGAGATAGCCCTTTTGGGATAGCTGTCAAGGCAAGCCATTCTGGTGGCTTGCAAGCCCTGGAATTCTTAAGTATCAGTTCCGGAGGTGAAGCGGAGGCGACTCGCCAGGGTTCCCCACTTGGATGGTTTTGAGCGTGAACTTTTGGTCGCTGGTGAGATCAAAGGGGAAGTAAAGGACACCTTGATAAATGGGGAACCAATGGTTGGCTTCCTATTTAAATGTTCCTTGTAGCCACCGTATAACCATGGTGTCCGTTTCCCTGATTACATTGGGACAAATCCATCGGTACAAAAGCATCAAGCAGTTTCTGCGATGGGAACCCCTCTTCAGAGCCCACGCAGTTTTCCAGGTTACGCCCTGACACCGGGGTCTCGTTTGGCTCAGGGTGTTTGCCCCCCGGCTTTTGTGTTTGATCGGTGTTTTTCGGGTGGGCCAATCAGAGACTCCATGATAAATTCGGGCCAAACAGAGACTCGGTTTCCTTGTTCCAGTTGCAATACAGTATCGAAGCTGTTTCTTGGCGAGAAACCTAAAGGAAACCCCCTGCCTGGGGTGAAATGGTGGACCAAACACCAAGATTCGTGGTGGTTTCCTTTTGGTTGGCCTTTTGGGGTGAAGTGGTGGACCCAACCCCAAAATGGGTGGTTCCGTTTCGGACTAGCCCAAAAAGGATGAGAAGAAACCATGGGACAAATCGAACAAGATTGGAAGACTTTTTTTTTCTCCATCCATCCCTGCCGCAAAACGGGGGGACCCTCCTCCGTCAGGAAGGCGACCTTTTGGAGGGCCTGGGCCGCGCCACCGCGGACCCGCGGCTCCGCGCCAGCCGCTGGCGGAAGCTGGGCGCCTCCGCCGGCGCCGGAGCTTCCGCCGGAGCTTCGGCCAGGTGCCGGCCGGGTCTCCGAGCGCACGAGGGTAGGGGCCACGAATTTAGGTCAGGTGCCTTTTTTTTGGTGGTCTTGGTCGAAAAGTAGAGGGCGATTCCTGGTTCACCTGGTTTAATCATCCAGGGAAACCCATCGTTTTCCCCTAAAAGGACACCCATTGTTTGGGTATGAGTCAAAATTAAACCACTGCAAAAACCGCCGGTTTTTGTGCTTGTTTCCCTTTACCAGGAGTCATTTTTGTGAAGCTATTCTTGACCAACGCGAATTTGAGTAGGGAACCGCCTCAAAAGCTGGTGGACGTGAATCTGGGCCAATCCCTATGTGAGATTCATCCAGACAAAGATCCTGTGCTTGGGGATCCACGTCCTTCGGGTGGTGGACTTTGCCCCAAGTTGGGATCACGGAAGTGGACCGAAGGCCTACGTATTGCTCACAGATTTGTTGCGTTTCAATTGATTTAGTATTGCTGGAGCCTCCTTTTGAGATTTGACTTGAGGGATTTGAGTGGTCGTCTCCCTCTGCAGGGCCCCGGCGGGCCGCGTGTCTTCTGCTGGCTGGGTGCCGTGCCCGCTCTGCGGCGGCCAGAGGAGGCGGTCTTCGCTTGTGGCTGTGGGCGTAACGTTTTTTTTTTTTTTTTTTTTGTTTTTGTGGAAAGTCCCAAGTCTTTCTTGGGGGTTATGCACTCCCTCAATTTCCTTCTTGTTTTGTTAGTTCTGAGAGTGGCAGTTGTTTTGTTAGTTCTGAGAGTGGCAGTTGTTTCATTGGAACACACTGGTGAACTGCAACTGTCGGAACAGGAAGCCAGAAGAACCCTGTTGTTTGCAGGGATGACATCTAGGGAAGCCCGTCACCTGAGCCTCGCAGATTCGACTTGGAGCGCGGTCTCCGGGCGCATCTCAGCGCTGTCCACGATTCGGGACAGTCTGAGGCTAGGAGAGAAGAAGACAGCCTGACGCATGGCTGTGGAAGGCTTGGTTAAAGGGAGAAGTTCTGTGAGGATCTCCAAGGGGAACTCACTTTGGAAGTGATCCGGTGTCATGGGGATGTCCTACTTTGGTATCACAGATTTTTCTTGCATGTGCCGCTTGACTTGACGGAACCCACTCAATTTGGGGGACAGGAGTGGTACCAGGACCTGCAGCAGCAGGCTGTGGACGCAGGCGTCTCGTTGGCGAATCCTGCCACAGGGATCCCGAGACTGGACCGCTGCCGATTGTTGGAGCACAGCACCGAATTCTGGGGCCCGTGTGAGTCTTCGGTCCCGCGAAACGGACCCTCAAACCAGCTCGCTCCGTCTCGGGTGGCGAACGCGTTGCGGGCGCCGGTTGCTGTTGGGCACCTGGGCATGAATTTTGATTGGGGACCCTTTAGCGGACCTCATGTCTACCAATCGCTTTTGAAGGTGCTACCACTCTTAAAGACTGTCGCCACTACCCACGGCGTATGTCCCTTTGATGTTGGAAGCCAGGCCTCTTCTCGCGCCGCGCCTGCGGCATGGGCGCTGGAGGAAGCAACGGTGCGTTGCGCCGCACCGGGTTGGTGCAGCACCAGGCAAGCCACGGGAAACGTACCACAGGAACCCAGCGCCCCTGCCTCTTTTAGGTTCCAAAGGGAAATCCAAAGGGGAACCACAGCATTTCACGAATTTGGGGGGTCATTTTGCCAGCACGAAGGTTCCATGTATAAAGCAGCACCCTTTTTCCAACTGAAGAACCAAAAGAAGGGTTGTGGGTTTTGCCGGTAAGTGACAGCTGTTGTGTTCGCCCTTCTTTTGATTCTTTAGTCTGGGATTCGGGGACTAATTCAATGCCACGATTTGGTCATGCTAGGTAAAGGGTGACTCAGTCTTGTTTTGCTTGCAACTTTTTCTGAAGCCGGTACCCCTTCTCGGCAAGTCAATTCAGAGTTGACATGGCCAAAACTTCTGCCGCAAGCCACTCCCTCGGAATCCTTCATTCATTTTGCTCAAAAACATAGTCTGGATTTGTCATGTCCCAGGGTATCCTCTTGCTAACCTCTGCTTCCAGAACCTATTTTACAATGGGTTTCCCCGGCCTCCCGGCCTTTCCGGGGCGCTGACTCGACGGCGAGGGCGGTGAGGGCGGCGCGGGCGGCGCGGGCGGCGCGGGCGGCGCGGGCGGCGGCGAGGGCCTCTGCGCCGCGCTGGCGCGGCTGCTGGCCGAGGGCTGGCAGCCCTTCGCCGCGGAATCGCTGGAGCGGGGCGAAGTCAAGTGGGAGCCATGCCAAAGTCCATTGACAAGAAACCCAAACTTTGGGTGGACCCCCAAAGTCCCCCTCAAAGATATTTGTTGTGGGAGTGGTTGGCTTCGTGCAGGGTGGGTGCCATGAGTTGGAAGTCAATCGACTTTTACTTGCAGCCTCCGCATATTGTGTTTGATTTTTGCACTGAACACTATTGTACGGAAGTCAAAGAATGACACAATGGCAAGCTGTCGAAGGAAGCCCTGGAGCTTTCGGAGATTCCATAGGGACCGAGGGGAATGGTTCGAAGGTTGCTCGCCACGGGCCTGCCAGGACCACAATGGCGCCAGCGCGGCTTGACTCAATGGGCTCGTGGGATTTTCGGGGGGGGGGGGGCAGTGCTATGAATGCAGTGATTTCCGGGGATTGGATCAAAAGGAAGACCCGCGCCGGGCCACAGGGGGCCGTTTCTCCCCTTGGAGCCGGGAGGTTTTCCAGAAGACGCGAGTGGATTCCATGAGGCGCTGGACTGGGCCGCCGGCGGTGGGCACTTGGACTGCGTCCGACTCCTGCGCCTCGGCCTTTGGCTTCGGCGCTCATTTTGGGGGACACATCACAACCTTGTTGGTTTTGGTAGGTTTCTGGGTGTAAAAAGTCATCCCAGTTTTTTTCTTTGTGGAACCTTACCATTGTACTGGCCCAAGGAGCAGCAGCTTCCTATTGGTCCCTTCAACATTTTTTTTTTTTTTTTTTTTGGGGGGGGGGCGGGGAAAAAATAGTAAAAGGAGAATTCAAAGAATTCTTCTTTCTACTATTTTTTCTCCAACAGCAACACAACAAACAGAAAACAAAATCCAGAACAACAAGCAAACAAAATAAATAATCACAACCAACAACAAAAATATTTAATCACAGCATGCAACATTAAATAATTCAATCAAGCATACCAACAAAACAGCAACACTCTAAATCATCAAAGAACCCAAACTCAAAAACACACATCAACAAAAAACAAAGCAACATACCAACAAAAAATATCACAAGAGTATCAAACAAAACAAAAACAAACAGCCAAAGCACGAAAAAATTGAAGAAGCATGCCAAGTCTAAACAACGCACTTTGAAAGAGATAAGCAAATTATAATAATTCAATCTTTACAAACGATAAATATATTACAATTATAACATATAATATTTTACATGTGATAATCATAGTATGATTAAACCTGTTTTTAGTGTTTCCAGTCTCCTATGTTGTTCCAAGAACTGCTCAAAATGTTTCTGATATTATACCAGATTAAGTTAACGTCATAATCTTTCATTGGTGCTCTTTGTTGTATTAAATAACGCAACACTGATACCAAAGTATAATAATTACAATGCATTGTTGTCATTCCTCCTCTTTCATTAATACTATTACCATTACGTTTAACGAGTTCTTCTTTCATTATGTTTTCGTAAATCTCTTTTATCCATTGATGATTTTGTTCTCCATACTCAGCGAACATATCTGGATATATATCTTTCATTGTTTTATCGTTTTTAATTATTTCAATGACTTGTTTATACGATGGATAGGGATTATCCTTAATGAAGCTCAATATTATCTTTCTATCCTGTTCCAGCTCTTTTTCTGTCACTCCTAGCATTGGCATTTTCCTCTTATTATTTGTTAATGTTGAAACGCATGTGGAAACATGAACTGTGTGGGCAATGCTTGACCACAATGGCGCTTGCCATTTTGGCTCAAGTGTTGCCCCGGGTTCTCTGAACCCAACTTGTGTGAAAAAGATTGAGGTAGAATACTTCCGAACTAACCCCGAACCAGCAATGGCCTCCTCGGCAACCTCGGCAACTTCCTTCGAGCTGATCGAGGACCAGACGCTCACCGCGGAGGAGGTGGAAATGGCCAGCCAGGAGGCCCAGGAAATCCGCACACGCGAGGCGGCTGTGGCGGCCGGCCTGGTGTTGGACGAGCCCGAGGCCCCCCCGTCGGCTTCGGCCACCGACGTGATGAACGACCTCTCCAGTGCACTGGAGCGTCTCCGTGTGGCTTTCTCCACACCGACTTCCGGCTTGGGTGCCCCTGGCCCCGCCGAAGAGGAGGACAAGGACATGGACGATGCGGACGCCACGGAGCGGGCGACTCCACCAACGAAGAGGTTGAAGGGTTTCGTGGCGGCCTCCCAGAAGACCACGGCTCCGGTGAACAAACCGGTCTCCCTTGTGCCGGTGGAGGGCCGTCCCGGCTACTTCAAGTTAGTGGACCTCCCAGACCTCTTCCCGGCCCTTCCGGCATCGGCGGCCACGTTGCTGAGGGACGTCACGGTGGAGGAGGCGGTCTCCCTGTTCCACAAGTTTGTCGGGAAGAACCTCACGGAGGACTTGGTGATTCGCATCCTGGAGGCCTATGTTCCGATGAAGATCCAGATCCGGCAGGAGGAGGTCTGGGCCTCACAGTTCCAGAGGAACAAGGCGTGCATTGGCACCCAGCGGATGCACAGACTCGATGCCGGCCACTCGGACTACAAATTCATGTGCAAGGCATGCGGCACGGGGTGGCCGGAGGCAGCCAATCAATGCTGGGTCTGCCCGGGCAAGGAGTTTGTCCTTTTCCAGGCACCCTCGGCTACCTACGAGGCGGACGGCGTCACGTACAACCTGCTCATTGTGGAGGGCAAGCCAACCTGGATCCAGCAATGGGCTGGGGGAAGCCTGGGTGCCACTGGCCCCGGTGGTACCCGGGCACAGGCAGACCGCAACCTGGTGGACGGCACGGTCCTGGGAAGAGCTCCTCCGAAAACGGACACGGTAGAGGAGATCACTGTGGCAGACGTGGTCCCGCTTAACAGGCGGGTTGACATCCGGCAGGAGATCCTGTCCATGGAGGCTGACGACGAGGCGTTGAAGGTCCGGGAGCGCCAGGAGGTCAAGGTCAAAGTGCAGCGGTCCCTGAAGGAGGCAGAGGCGCAGAGCTTCCAGCTCTACCACCCCCCAGGTGGACCAGGCCATCCGGAAGAAGGAGGAGCTGCATCAGGCCCTGAAGGAGCACCGGGAACCAACCCTGGAGGAGTCCTCGGCCAGGCGGAGGCACAAGGAGTTGGTCACGGATGAGATGCTGGACAATGAGATGGCTATCCTGGCGCTTTTTCAGGAGGGCATGCAGGCCCTGCCGTCAGAGGAGGTTGCCAATGAGGGAGCCCGGGCCCTCAGGAAGGTCAACTTGGAACGATTCAAGGCCAAGCTGCGCGACCAGTACCTGGAAGGGAAGGGCGTTGACGCCAGCCAGGCACTGGCGGAGGCGATGGGCTCCATCCAAGAGGCGCAGGAGGCGAACAAGCGCACCCAGGACACCAACCAGGCGTGGATGCTTAACCACACCCTCAAGCCCCTGGAAGTGTCGGCATGGCCAGACGATCTCAGGCAGGCTCTAGGAGAGGGGGCTGTTCTGCCCCCTGAAACTGTATGACCCCGAAGACATCCCCAACTACATGTGGAGGCTCAGGGAGGCGCAGAACCCATGGAACCAGGAGGCGCTGCTGGAGGAGATGCCCGATCTGGCGACACCGGCCCCCCCCAAGGCTGGCCCCGGGGGGGACCAGTCAATGCCACCGCAGGACCTGGACTCGGAGGAGGGCAAGCTGTCCCTGCTCCTCTGGGCGATGAAGAGGCACCAAGGGGAGTTACGGATGTTTGGGGGGATCTGGAAGAAGCACTCAAGCGGTGAGATCCCCAAGGGTGCGGACCAGCAATTCAAGCTCACGCCGGAGGAGCTCCTGGCCCTGGAGCGCAGGACTCACCCACTCACGTGTGAGCGGGACCACATCGACCCAATCATCTACTCGGCCTTGGAGATCCGAGCGCAGGTGAACCGGGGCGAGCGCCCGGCGCCGGAGCAGGTGGTGGGGATCTTCTGGGCGAAGGGCGATGGAGTGTTTTGGACAAGGCAGACGAGAACGTGGGACCTGCCGAGCCTGACGCGGGTGTACGCCCACCGTTTCACCTTCAAGTACATCTACTCGGCCTGGACCACATTCCCGCTGGTCGTGAAGACGCAGCGACGGGGCCGCAACGCGGAGGGCTCGGCCTCGGATAAGTGGATGGGCAACATCCTCCAGATGAGGAAGGAGGCGGTCCCCTTCCTGGAGAGCCTGGGAATCCCCAAGCCGCACAGCAAGGCGGAATGGAGCTACATCTTCAAGGAGCTCCCATCGAGCCGCGCGCGGCGCTGCAATCACGAAGTCTCCCCCCCAGACAAACTTGATGCACGACAGCTGCCGCCAGGCGGGAGACACCCCGGTGCAGACCCACCGATAGCTGGGGCAGCAGCCCACATCCTTTCAAGACGCCTTGCCTCCCTATCGGGAGGACTGGGCGTGGGCGACCTAGGGGCCTCCTCCTCCTCATCTTCAACAACAGGACCAGCAGTGGTACGAGGCGTAATAGGCTTCGTACCCGGGGCGGCTTCTGATGCAAGTATTTGCATTGCTGGGCAGTGCACTTGCCGTACATCCAGTTAGCAGTGCCCAAAGTACATTGGCTTGTCCCTAACGGGCCTATCGCCAGTCCTTGGGGTAGAGGGTGCGGCAGGATTCCTCGGGCTCTTGTCATGCTCGAACCTGCAGTCTCGGCCATGTTGACATTTACCTGTCTTGGCATACTCCCAGCAGGATCGGTCAGCAGGCCCAGCAGGCGACTGCCTTTTCGGCGACTTGGGAGACGGAGTCCGCTTGTCCCTTTGGCTGGTTCTTCCAAAAAAAGCTCTGTCTCTCTGGTTGCTCTTTCCGGGCGAAGATGACCTCGGCTTTCCATCCCTCCCGGACCTAATGGACCTCGAGGGGCTCGTGTCACTCTTCCTGGCAAGTGGGTCATACCTCCACACAACACCAGGAGCACCAGGATTCCGATCCCTCTCACGGGAGTGAGAGCCCGAACGTGACCTCTGCTCATGAAAGGTCTGGTACATCTGAAGCGTGTTCTGACGCTTCTGCCACCGACAAGCCTTATAGAGCCACGCGAAAGACCTAACGGTCACATCGCGATCCCACCTCTCAATGTCAGGCCGCATACAGCGTAGATGACGAACGTTCTCAATGAACACAGCTAGTAGTACCCCATCGTCGATCTTCCTCCTGATCCCAGAAATGAGATTGTCCCAGGTGCTCAGATAACTCCGGAGCCTGGCCTCATCGTCGTTGCCGACACTTGAGACTAGTCAGCTCGGCAATCTTGAAGGTCTGGTCGTCCTCGACTCCAGTCTGCAGATGGTTCAGCAGAAGCTTCAAGATCTGTCTCCCCTTGATACCCTGGGGAGGATTCATATTCTGAGCGGCCTCGGTCAGGCGATTCATCTTGTCCCTAACGGCCCTCGTCTTGACACACTCCCTGATAGCGCTCGTGAAGTTGGAATCCAAAACCGGGTACTTGCAGGGTCCGCCAAGAGCGTCATAGTCAAGCCTCTCAGTCTCTGAAATCCCTGCGGTTCAGGGCGGTCTGTGACGAGCGAATCACCCTTCCGCTGTCATCGTTGAGGGCTTTCGACTCGGTGTACACCAAACTGGTGTCGGGCTT